GCATCGACGAAAGTAACAACAAGGACACAGTTCCCTGTGCTGATCAACTGAAAATGCGGCATGTGCATGTGGAATTTTCAACTTAAGCATTCACACCACACTCTTTGGTATAATACTGCTATATGTGTTTGTCTGTGTAATTTTTTTGCGAAAAAAATGGCAGCAATATGAAAGGAGCCCCTCATTTTTCCTACATGGTGGATGCCCCGTGAGTTCAAGCAAGATATGAGCCATTAACACAATTCCAACCAGACACACCTTGATTTCTTGAAAAAGAAAGTTGATAGTTCGTACTTTCAATGCTGATTTCAGTTCTATTTCCATATGTTGCAGTATTGGTAATATGTATATGTTGTTTAGCAGTGTGATGAATTGGGCGAGTTGGTAGTTCATTATTTCTTGTGCTTCGAGATGGGGCATTACAGGGCACCACTTTTCATATAGTCCATGTCTCTTGCAGCCTCGCTATATGATGTGTAAAAAAACAAGAATACTATATTTTTCTTTTTTCTTGCAGTTTCAAGGGGCCAAGGGAATCGTTTTGAAAAGGGATGCAGCAAGCAAACTCTTAAAGAACAAGAAGCTAATGCTTGTTTAAAAAGACACAGCACAAGCAATTTGGGGCCGGGAAATTCTCGCCACGAAGAGTGTGACAGGAACAGCGCTGCCGCGCAAGAAAATCATTGTAGAAGCAGCGAAATAGCTTCTTACACCAGGGAAGGTCGCCGTCGTTTCAGGTGGCTTCTAACGAAACATCATCTGTTGCGTCTAGTGGCGATTCCACCGGCAGTTTAGATATTAGAAGCTGTGGTGAATTGTTAATTTCTATTCAAGCTTGTGCTTGGCTCATTGTTACAGCTGTTCCAACATACCTCAACATTGAAGGCTTTTCAAGTCTCAAGTCCTCCAGAGCCGTCAAGTGCACTGATTGGCAAAAATGCAAGTTAATCATGGAAGACTATTTTAGCGGCTCACCCTTCAGCCTAGAGGACGCAATAAAGAGTGCTCTACCGTCCACCACGCATTCGTTCCAGTGAGCTCACCTTGAAGTGATATGGACATTGATCTCGAGAAACTCGGAGCGATTCGTCGTCGTGCAGAACGACGTTATCGACGCACGAAGTCATGATGATCTGAGAGTGGCTGGACGCACACAAAAGAAAATACAGCGTCACTTGGACAAGTTGGATAAGCGACTATGGGTATCTTTTTGTGAGTCTTTGGATCTCAGAAAGCCTCTGTTACCAATATGGAAAACTGTCCGGGGTCTTCGTACAACCATTACTCAACGCTAGACATATAAATCTATGGCACTTCATTTACGCTGCGAAGAGATTGATGTCGCAGATTATTTCTGTCGAAGGATTTCCAGCGGGGCGAATTCAACTGGGACGAAGAAGCCGAACTTTTCTGTATCTTCACGTATTCTCCGAATGGCGTGTTCGTTTTCAGTGGAAGAACTAAATGCTGCGCTTTCTTTGTGCAGACGTTCTTCAGCGCCAGGACCTTACGGCATCCCTTACCGTGCTCTTTGTCTTCTAAAAGATAAACCTCGGAAGGCACTCTTGCTGCTATACAACGACTCCTGACAAACGGGCATGGTTGCGCAGAAATGGAACTCAAGTGACATGATTCTAATTCCCCAAGATGGCAAGTCACCTTTGGACATTTCCTCCTACCGCCCGTTATGCCCTCGCCAGCTGTGTGGGAAAAGTCATGGAAAGAATGATTTTAACGCTTCTAGAATAGTACTTAGAGTTACACAAAATATATTTATATGACATGTCCGAGTTCAGACGAGGCCGCTCATCAATTGACAATGTAATTGACTTGGTGGCATATGTAGAGCACCAGAGGGCCTTCAAACGGTTTTCTGCTGCTCTGTTTCTTGACGTAAAAGGGGTATACGACAATGTCACCCACGAAGCCATTCTCAGTACATTAGAAAGAGTGAGACTCGGTAGCAAAATATATATGTGTGTTCAGAGCTACCTACAGAATGGATCTTTTCACGTGCAGACAGAGAATGGCCCGACGCCCGAGTATTACTGTAGCCGAGGAGTGTCGAAAGGCGGAGTGCTAAGCCCGACGCTGTTCAACCTAACACTCAAAGAGCTAGTTGGGAAGCAACCAAGCAGTGTACGATTTTCCATGTATGCTGATGACATCTGTGTGTGGACATCAAGTGTGACTCGACTTTAACTTCGCGCTCAACTTCAGAAGGCAGTATCAGTGACATCGCACACCTACGCAAACAAGGGCTCGAAATCGCAAGTAGAAAGTGTGCAGTCGTGACCTTCAGCAGAAAGCCAGTGTCCACTTACGGCATATCAATTAACGGGCAGTTAGTGTCATGCAACCAGAGCCACGGGTTCTTGGGAGTCATAATCGACTGACACCTGTCTTATAACCCACAAGTAAACTACGTGAAAAAGCGGCTGACCGCCATTTGTTACTTGTTCAGAATTCTTGCCAGGAAAAGTTGGGGAGTGTCTGTCGAGTATATGTTACAGCTGTACAAGGTATTATTTATTGGATTCTTGTGGTACAGCCTACCTGTTATATCTAACACCTGCCAAACGAACCTGCACACAAAACAAAATATTCAAGCCCAGGCACTTAGGATATGCCTTGGTTTACCCCACTGCGCATCGACACCTGAAACAAGTGCCATTGCACAGGACAACATAATCATGACGCACTTCACCATTGAAACGATGCGTACGTACTTCAGGCAAAATGCTAGGAATCCTTCCCACCACTTGGCAACCTTCGCTACTGAGAGGCCCCGCATGAAATTTAGTGCAATTGTCTATCCACATCGTGCGTCGTTTACGTCAAGTTTGCGCCTGCTGAGAAGCTGGTATATCCTCCGTGGTGCCTGACACTTCCGCAAGTACGTCTTTCAATTCCAGGAATACAGAAAAAATGAAATTTGCCTTCGTCAGCGCTAAAAATATTGAGCTTGCACCTCCTGCACGAAATGTACGATAACCACGTGCTCATTTATACCAATGGGTCAACCACAGCATCTGGTTCTGGCGGTGCGGTGGTGATTCTAGCTAGAGGAATCATTCTGCGAATGAAGTTGTCACACGTCACTACGTCTACGACGGCAGAGCTTGCGGCTTTGCGTGGCGCCATAGAGTGTATGAAATCCCAGAGACCGAGCAAATGGGTTGTGTTTTCTGACTCGAAGCCGGCCCTACAAAGCATGCAGTCAATCTTTCGACGAAGTTGCCATGAACAGTTAACTTACGAGGTTGTCAAGCTCCTTCTCCACGTCATAAAAACAGGCAGTGAGATAAATTTTTAGTGGCTACCTGGCCATTGTGGGATCAGCGGCAATCATTCCGCAGACAACGTGGCTCGCACATCGCACCAAGAAGAGCACACCTTTCCGATTCCTTTGTCAAGGACAGACGTTGCAAAGCAACTTCGTCACCTGGCACGTGGTATGTGTCTGCTGAAGTGAAACACCCCAAGCAAAAGCTAACTTCAAATATGCCAAACTTGGTATTACGTCGCGTCAATGAATGATGAAGGTATATGACTGGTGCAAACATAATAATCATGAGATGCGTGTCATGTAACAACCTGACTTCATGCTGCGCTCAGGATGCGCTCGCGGCCGTTTCACCAGCTTCAAATATTACAAACGTGGTATTACGTCATGTCAATGAATGACGAAGGTTAGTGGCTGGTGCAAACATGATAATTGTGAGATGCATGCCATGTAACAACGTGAGACTACTTGCTACGCTCATGATGCGCTCGCAGCCGTTTCGCTGGCTTCCATAGTGCCAAATTGGGTATCAGGGGACGTGAACAGATGGCGAAGGTAAATGAGAAGTTCCAACATGATAATCATAACATAAAAGTCATGAACGGCATAATTAATCTCTGCCTCATAACTTTGGGCTGATTTTAATGTGAGCTATTAACCTTCCTCATTCGTGCTTTGCATATCGTCAATTTCCACTGTACGTTGGATCTGCCTATTTTTCGCTAGAATAAATGGCAATGTTTACACGCACTGCTCGATCTTTCTAGGCGTATTTGTCCTGAAGACACTATTCGCCTACGAGCGAAATTTTCGAATTTTGCACTTTTCTCACGGACCCATACTTGCTAAAGCCATATGAACTGCCACCCCCCCTGCCACCTGCCTGGTTTCATTTCCATGCACCAATCTCAGGACACAATATGGCTGTCGTGTTTCTGTTCTGCATGAGAAATAACTGTCATTAGCCTCCACTCGCCCACCCACACACACACTTTCACTCGTGCATAGTACATGCGACAGGGGAGACAACGTTGTCAATTTCGACTTCAATCAGAGTACCAGATCCTGAGAAAGAATCTTAAAATTTATATCCCGTCACTCCGAGCATGGTGACAGAGCTAATAAACTTTAGTGTACCGGAGATGGTGTACTGGAGATGGTGTACCGTGGCCGCGGCTGCTCGGTCTTCTGGGGCCCCGCCAGCACAAGCGGCACGTCATACCTCGCCTAGGATGGCTAGCTCACACTCCGCACGTTTACGGCGCCAAATGCCTAGGGGGCCTGTTAAGAGAGTCGTCATAAAAAAATTCTCGTTAGCTCGCGCAAAAGTTCTGATGTGCCTGACCGGTGGAAGTGAGTGCGTCTAAAATCACGGACGCGAGGTTCATGACTAAAATGCACAGTTTCATTTCCAAATATATGCAATAGATATGACGCACACTCGCTGTTTTCTCGTTACATTCAGTATGACTACTCGTTGTGTCACTTAATTGAAGCCCCTATAGACTGAAACATAGGTTACGGTGAATTTGCTTTTTGCTTGACTGGAAAAGGCTCCGAACATGATTATTACGATACTACAACCATACGTGCTGTGATTTTAGAGATCTATCATACTTAACCTACTGTTGTCGAAATACGTAAAGTATAGTTCAAACTGCATTTCTTTGGTGTTGCGCTACCTGTCATCGCTCATAGATTTCGATTTATACAGACATGGCACCATATGTCAGCCCTGGGCGTCACCGAGGTCTCTGGCTTCCTGCTCCATGCTCGTAACTTTAGCCGTAACACCACTGAAATTGGCGCTGTTCTGAATGAGCCCAAGAGATTCTTCGTCAAATCTCTTCATTCTTTGTAAGCCTTTATTGATTTATAAGGTTTTATTAAAATTCCAGCTAAAACAATCTCATGAAAGCTATCAATCTTGGTTACCTGCATGCGTTAGAGCAACTAACTGCTGTTTGCAGTGAATATTTTTTTGCCCCGAAAACATCCGCTTATTGGTCATTGTACAGATGATCAATTTAGTAGGCTGTGTCGAATGGAGGAATTTGTGTTACCACCTTGTCTACGGGTTTCTTTCTAGGAGGGGGCATCTGCGAGCTCCACGGTCGCAATATGAAGCAAGAACTCTGGCTTACTGCGCGCTCTTTTGTAGTAGCAGTTCATGTAACTATCCTTTTGTGTGTCAGAATTCTCAGTGATCCTCGGTGGTGGCGGAGGCTGTGCTCTTAGGTTTCCGGACAGTAGCTGGAGGCAGCGGTTTACGGCCAGTGCAGCGCTGCCTTGTGGCTGCCTGACGACGATGATTGGGAAGGTCTTCGAGGGGTCCAGTGCGTTTCATTGAGGTGCTCGTTGATATCACTTGGTCGTTTCCCGCACTCTAGACACAGCGCGTTGGCGGCGAAGGCTCTGAGTCCCACCTAGTTTTATTCGCTATAACAGTGGGTAAGGCAGGCTAACTCGCAGTAGTAGCAGAGACGATGGCTGTCAGAAACATATGCAATAGTGTTGATAAGTGCACGGCATTGTCTGACAGGCGTGTGATGATGCGTTGAAATGAATAGAATCAACGCTGTTCTGTCGAAGCTGCATGCTGTGAGCCGAGTGAGCCGATGTGTGTTACGAATCTTTTGAAATGCTTTACTTTAGCTGTACTGGAAGCGCCAAAAAAAGTCTCCTCAGTAGTCTCTGATACATATGGTCAGCTTTGCTTATGGTAACTAGGAGCGATGGCATCAGTTTGTAAAGTGGCGTTTTTAAAGTGTAATAAAGCAGTGGACTCGAGCACAGTGGGAGCTAAGCTTTTATTCTTACCCCGCAGCTTGACCCACCCGATCAGGGAAAAGCTGAAAGACCAAGGTTTTTTGCACTATGAAGGCCTCGTTATGAGTCGGGTTAGTATATATACATATATCAGTTGATGAGTGAGGTAGGTATGCCCCCCCCCCCCCCTCGCCAAAGAGTCGGTACGCCACTGTACAGTCGACCGCAATCTGCCGACAGCAGACGCGCGCTTCGCGTTCAATTTGCAACGATGTCCGTTTCAAGGTTTCTGTTTTTATTCGCTAGGCTATGTGTTCTGGTGCTGCAGTCACACAGGAAAACTCTACTGAACGGTTTCCATACTGTTTACCCGCCGTTGTTTTTGCGGGGTGAGCCAAGTAGTGAACGTGAAGTCACTAACCCTTCTCCTATAGGAAACGTGCCGAATAGGACGGATGCGTAGAAATAAAGTTGAGTGTAATTTTATAAAAAGTGAGTTTTATAAAAAGCGCGTCTGGAAAGTGATGACCGTTTATCCAGTGGCCTTGGTGAAGGTTTGCGAATATGTGGCCTAGACGCACTGGGAAGTCGCCCGACCCGTGTTTTCGCGAACTGAAGGCTCTTGGGTTTGACTCCCATTGACGGAAATTTTAAAGACGATAGTCTTTCTTGAGGACATTCGACGCAAAAATTATGATCTGCCTGTCTGTCTATACTTTTGTCTGTTTGGGTGCCCTTAAAGGTACTTTAAATGACACCAAAGTGGCCAAACGATACTCCAAACGGCCGAAGTCATCCGCAGCACCCACCGATATCGCTCGAAATTAAGCGTTCCTACTTGTGTGATTGTCAATGATAAAGCAATTATTGCACATATCTGAGGCACCATAACACGTCAATATTTTGTACGTGTGTCTCTTACTAGAAAAATAGTGCTTAAGTAATTATAGGGACCGTAGCGTTTATCACGTTGCGCTGACCAGGAAGCGCTTGCAAGAAAAGGCAAGAGTTTCCAACGCTTTGCTGAGACGATACGGTGGTGACACCTGCCCGTCACCCGATGTTCTACACCTTATCACCTCCCAGACAGGCGCGCAGGGTGCGCGCACTGTGTTTTCCAAGATAACTGCCACATGGTGCTCATGTCGCACGTGTGACATGACTTGATGCGCTCGTTCACCTCCGATACACACTAGACCTTTTTTTTGAAAAAGGGTGCCCCTAGCGCCACGGACGTGAACTGCAGTCTGCCACCATTGTGAGGGCACTGCAGCAGACGACGAAGGCTCTGTTTTCCAGTGACGCTGATGCGCGTTTCATGCAGGGCACACAGACACCTCTTGCATTCCTGCAGTACGCTGACCGCATCGGGAGGGAGCGCCAAAGAGAGTCTTTTGCAGGCCGGATCCATGCATTGTCAGTCATACCAAGCCAAACTGCTCGTCCAACCCGTCGAAGATTATAAAATGTTGCTCATTGGGCAGCGGAAGCATCTCAAAATGCGTATTGGAGTGTACTAGGAGCTCGTTCAAGCTAGAAAGCGGTGCGATATCATCGGATAATACAAAGAACTGGCCGCCAACACAAACATCACAGCACTGACACATTTGACGGCTCGCTTTTCATGCCCTCATAATGGCGCTAGCTATCCCACGCTCTTTTGCGAAGCGAAACTGACGAAAAGCTCACCGTCAGGTGGCGTATTTATGAAAAGGATCTACACCATTCATTAAGTTTCTTGCGCAGAACATCAAATAAACGTTTTCTTCACTCTCTCCTGACGCTAGACTATCGTCTTTCGACATGTGCTGTGTAACATGCAGATACGCAGCCAATGTTTTTTAAATATTTTCTAAGTGTATGTATTTTTTGACGTCACTTTTGTGATAGAAATAGGTATGTCTAGAAAAAGTGTTCAACGATTCAGAGTACTTTGTACTCTACTATAGGAGAGCAGAAAGCCGTCCCGCTATCAGTGACTAAGTCGTCTAACCAGCCAGCTAAGAAGTGTAATGCGCAATATTTAATACGCTATTGTCATCTTGGCGGATGCTGGCATAAACATCTTCGTGTTAAACAACATTGCTTTGGCTGACATACAACGCAGTTCACATACAATGTTTAGGTAGTTGGACCGGTCTTTATAGAATAACCTGACGAGTGCTGGTTAATCTGCCAAACGCAAACAAAAAATCATTCAGTTATTGAACGTGTGCCTTTCTTCTTAATTCAGCGCGCAATACGCTTTCACGTCGTTTTCTTTTATAGAGACATCTTCAGTCGGCAAAACTTCAAAGTCAGCACAGCAGGAAATCTTGACCTGGTATCCAAGGATTTGCGACAAAATATGGCAAAATTGAGACCAACACTATTGCCGAAAGCAGGTAAACGAACATGATTGATCCCTCCATCCTGGGAATCGATATAACACGAAAGTAAAACATCTCCTTACAGAAAGCAGTTTAATGCTTGCTGTACATTATTATAATAGAGCTTATGTGATGCCTCTGCGTTTTAGACTGCTAAATTCAAGCGCCATTTCTTGTAAATACATCCACGTTGATGCTTATCGATACATCCCCATCCAGACAACTAACGTCCGTGAATAATGACTCAATATTGAATAATGATGCCCGATATAGCTCTAGTAGTTGAAGGTGACAGCGAAACCAAATAAAGCAGAGTGACAGCCAGAGAGTGCGACTTATTGTACGCCAAACGTGCCCTACGTCGGCTGCTCATGACATGTTCGAATTAGTGATTGCCACTGCCCGATTTCAGGGAAACGCAACGCGCATAGTGACTTTCCTTTTGTCCGGCCATGATTTGTCGCGTGACGCAAAGTTACAACCAGACGAAGCAAGCGCGTTGCTTTGCATGCTTGGTATACCACAAAACTATTTTTGGTCGAAATGGATGGATTCTTTTAGTCACACCAACTCCTTGGGTAGGTCACCACCTGGCAGAATTTAATTGTGTTTCACAAAACTCCGATTCTATTGAAAACGCGTCATACAGAGGTAATACTAACGAGACTCAGAATAGGACACACATACACGACACACACACACCTTTTGTCCGGTGGCGATCCACCATTGTGTGACAGATGTGGTGAAGTATTGACAGTCCTTCACATTTTAATTGAGTGCAAACAATTGGACACTGTAAGAAAACAACACTTTCCATTACCCTACCGACAACATATACCTTTGCACCCTGCAATGTTCGTCGGTAGGGAACCGCTTTTTAGTCACAAAGCATTGTTAGCGTTTTTTAAAGAAATTCACAGTTTTCACATCATCTACCCGGGCATCCCGTAGCTTGACCTCTCCAGAGAGGTTTTTGCTGCGGTGGTTACACAAGAAAGCACTTGCCTCACGGCCCTTGGACGCAAGGGTATGAACAAGTGAGGCACTTGTGCTAATGCCATACATATCCACCATCGTCTTTATTATCACCAACTTTGTGATCTCTTCACACCGCACACACCTTTCACGACATGGACATGATTTTATTACTTGTATGTTTTTACCCGCCTTACCGCGAGGAATTTTATGGCCCTTATACAGCCGCTTATCACAATCATTGTCCATGTTTTTAGTAAGATGAACTGGCGCTCTTTGGCCGTGAAATGGCCCTTGCGCCATAAAACATCAAACATCATCATATATACCAATGGTTCAACCACCGCATCTGGTTCTGGTGGTGGGGTGGAGATTCCAGCTAGCGGAATCATTCTGTGAATCAAGCTGTCACACGTCACTACGTCAACGGCGGCAGAGCTTGCGGATTTGCGTGGCGCCATAGAGTATATGAAATCCCAGAGACCGTGCATATGGGTTGTGTTTTCTGACTCGAAACCGGCCTTACAAAGCATGCACTCAGTCTTTCGACGAGGTCGCCATGAAAAGTTAACTTACGAGGTTGTCAAGCTCCTTCACCACGTCATAGAAACAGGCAGCGAGATAAATTTTTAGGGGCTACCTGGCCATTGTGGGATCAGCGGCAATGATTCTGCTGACAACGCGGCTCGCACATCGTACCAAGAAGAACACACCTTTCCGATTCCTTTGTCAAGGACAAACGTTGCAAAGCAACTTCGTCACCTGGCACGTAGTATGTGTCTGCTGAAGTGGAACACCCCAAACAAAAGATAGCTTCAAATATGCCAAACTTGGTGTTACGTCGCGTCAATGAATGATGAAGGTATATGACTGGTGGAAACATAATAATGATGAAATGCGTGTCATGTAACAACCTGACTTCATGCTGCGCTCAGGATGCGCTCGCGGCCGTTTCGCTAGCTTCAAGTGTGCCAAATGTGGTATTACGTCATGTCAATGAATGACGAAAGTTTGTGGCTGGTGCAAACATGATAATCGTGAGATGCGTGCCATGTAACAACGTGACTACTTGCTACGCTCATGATGCGCTCGCGGCCGTTTCGCTGGCTTCTATAGTGCCACATTGGGTATCAGGGGACGTGAATAGATGGCGAAGGTAAATGACAAGTTCAAACATGATAATCTTGACTTAAAAGTCATGAACGGCATAATTATTCTCTGCCTCATAACTTTGGGCTGATTTTATTGTGAGATATCAGCCTTCCTCATTCGTGCTTCGCATATCGTCAATTTCCACTGTACGTTAGATCTGCCTATTTTTCGCTAGAATAAATGGCACTGTTTACAGGCACTGCTCGATCTTTCTAGGCGTATTTGTCCTGAAGACACCATTCGCCTACGAGCGAAATTTTCGAATTTCGCAATTTTCCCAGGACCCATACATGCTAAAGCCATATGAACTGCCACCCCCCTCCCACCTGCCTGGTTCTATTTCCATGCACCAATCTCAGGACACAATATGGCTGTCATGTTTCTGTTCTGCTTGAGAAATAACTGTCAGGAGCCCCCACTCCCGCACCCACACACACACTTTCACTCGTGCATAGTACATGCGACAGGGGAGACAAAGTTGTCAATTTCGACTTCAATCAGAGTACCAGATCCTGAGAAAGAACCTTAAAATTCATATCCCGTCACTCCGAGCATGGTGACAGAGCTAATAAACTTTAGTGTACCGGAGATGGTGTGCTGGAGATGGTGTACCGTGGCCGCGGCTGCTCGGTCTTCTGGAACCCTGCCAGCACAAGCGGCACGTCATACCTCGCCTAGGATGGCTAGCTCACACTTCGCACATTTATGGCGCCAAAGGCCTAGAGGGCTTGTTATAGGGATTGTCATAAAAATATTCTCGTTCGCTCGCCCAAAAGTTCTGATATACCTTACCATTGGAAGTGGGTCCGTCTAAAATCATGTATGCTAGGTTCATGACTAAAATGCACAGTTCCGTTTCCAAATATATGCAATAGATATGACTCACACTCGCTGCTTTCTCGTTACATTCAGTATGACTACTCGTTGTGTCACTTATTTGAAGCCCCTATAGATTGAAACATAGGTTGCGGTGAATTTGCTTTTTGCTTGACTGGAAAAGGCTCCGAACATGATTATTACGATACTACAACCATACGTGCTGTGATTTTAGAGATTTATCATACTTACTACTGTCGTCGAAATACGTAAAGTATAGTTCAAACTGCATTTCTTTGGTGTTGCGCTACCTGTTATCGCTCATACATTTCGATTTCTACAGACATGGCACCATATGTCAGCCCTGGGCATCACCGAGGTCTCTGGCTTCCTGCTCCATGCTCGTAACTTCAGCCGTAACACCACTGAAATTGGCGCTGTTCTGAATGAGCTCAAGAGGTTCCTCTTCAAATCTCTTCATTCTTTGTAAGCTTTTGTTGTTTTATAAGATTTTAGTAAAATTCCAGCTAAAACAATCTCATGAAAGCTATCAATCTTGGTTACCTGCATGCGTTAGAGCAAGTAACTTCTGTTTGCAGTGAATATTTTTTTTGCCCCGAAAACATCCGCTTAATGGTCACTGTGCAGATGATCAATTTTAGTAGGCTGTGTAGAATGGAGGAATTTGTGTTACCACCTTGGCTACGGGTTTCTTTCTAGGAGTGGGCATCTGAGAGCTCCACGGTCGCAATATGAAGCAAGAACGCTGGCTTACTGCGCACTCTTTTGTAGTAGCAGTTTATGTAACTATTCTTTTGTGTGTCAGAATTCTCAGTGATCCTCGGTGGTGGCGGAGACTGTGCTCTAAGGTTTCCGGACAGTAGCTAGGGGCAGCGGTTTACGGCCAGTGCAGCGCTGCCTTGTGGCTGCCTGACGACGATGATTGGGAAGGTCTTCGAGGTGTCCAGTGCGCTTCTTTGAGGTGCTCGGTGATGTCACTTAGTCGTTTCCCGCACTCTAGACACAGCGCGTTGGCGGCGAAGGCTCTGAGTCCCAACTAGTTTTATTCGCTATAACGGTGGGTAAGGCTGGCTCCCTCGCAGTAGTAGCAGAGAAGATGGCTGTCAGAAACATATGCAATAGTGTTGCTAAGTGCACGGCATTGTCTGACGGGCTTATGACGATGCGTTGAAATGAATAGAATCACCGCTGTTCTGTCGAAGCTGCATGCTGTGAGCCGATGTGTGTTACGAATCTTTTGAAATGCTTTACTTTAGCTGTACTGAAAGCGCCAAAAAAGTCTCCTCAGTAGTCTCTGATAAATATGGTCAGCTTTGCTTATGGTAGCTAGGAGCAATGCCATCAGTTTGTAAAGTGGCGTTTGTAAAGTGTAATAAAGCAGTGGACTAGAGCACAGTGGGAGCTAAGCTTTTATTCTTACCCCGCAGCTTGGCCCACCGGATCAGGGAGAAGCTGAAAGACCATGGTTTTTTGCACTATGAAGGCCTCGTTATGAGTCTGCTTGGTATATATACATATATCAGTTGATGAGTGAGGTAGGTATGCCCCCCCCCTCGTCAAAGAGTCGGTACGCCACTGTACAGTCGACCGCAATCTGCCGACAGCAGACGCGCGCTTCGCGTTCAATTTTCAACAACGTCCGTCTCAATGTTTCTGTTTTTATTCGCTAGGCTATGTGTTCTGGCGCTGCAGTCAGACAGTAAAACTCCACTGAACGGTTTCCATACTGTTTAACCGCCGTTGTTTTTGCGGGGTGAGCCAAGTAGTGAACGTGAAGTCACTAACCCTTCTCCTATAGGAAACGTGCCGAATAGAACGGATGCGTAGAAATGAAGTTGAGTGTAAGTTTATAAAAAGTGAGTTTTATAAAAAGCGCGTTTGGAAAGTGATGACCATTTATCCAGTGGCTATGGTGAAGGTTTGCGAATATGTGGCCTAGACGCACTGGGAAGTCGCTCGACCCGTGTTGTCGCGAACTGAAGGCTCTTGGCTTTGACTCCCATTGACGGAAATTTTGAAGACGATAGTCTTTCTTGGGGACATTCGACGCAAAATTTATGATCTGCCTGTCTGTCTATACTTTTGTCTGTTTGTGTGCCCTTAAAGGTACCCTAAATGACACCAAAGTGGCCAAACGATACTCCAAATGGCCGAAGTCATCCGCAGCACCCACCGATATTGCTCGAAATTAAGCGTTCCTACTTGTGTGATTGTCAATGATAAAGCAATTATTGCACATATCTGAGGCACCATAACACGTCAATATTTTGTACGTGTGTATCTTACAAGAAAAATAGTGCTTAAGTAATTATAGGGACCGTACCATTTATCACGTTGCGCTGACCAGGAAGCGCTTGCAAGAAAAGGCAATAGTTTTCAACGCTTTGCTGAGACGATACGGCGGTGACACCTGCCCGTCATCCGATGTTCTACACCTTATCACCTCCCAGACAGGAGTGCAGGGTGCTCGCACTGAGTTTTCCAAGATAACTGCCACATGGTGCTCATGTCGCACGTGTGACATGACTTGATGCACTCGCTCGCCTCCAATACACACTAGACCTTTTTGAAAGAGGGTGCCCCTAGTGCCACGGACGTGAACTGCAGTCTGCCGCCATTGTGATGGCACCGCAGCAGACGACGAAAGCTCTGTTTCTCAGTGACGCTGATGCGCGTTGAATGCAGGGCACACAGACACCTTTTGCATTCCTGCAGGACGCGGACCGCATCGGGAGGGAGCGCCGATGAGAGTCTTTTGCGGGCCGGATCCATGCATTGTCAGTCATACCAAGCCAAACTGCTCGTCCAACCTGTTGAAGATTACAAAATGTTGCTCATTGGGCTGCGGAAGCATCTCAAAATACTTATCGGAGTTTACTAGGAGCTCGTTCAAGCTAGAAAGCGGTGCGATATCAGCGGATAATACGGAGAACTGGCCGCGAACGCAAACATCACAGCACTCACACATTTGACGGCTCGCTTTCCATGCCCTCATGATGGCGCTAGCTATCCCACGCTCTTTTGCGAAGCGAAACTGACGAAAAGCTCACAGTCAGGTGGCGTATATATGAAAAGGATCCACACCATTCACCAAGTTTCTTGCGCAGAACATCAAATAAACGTTTTGTTCACTCTCTCCTGACGCTAGACTATCGTCTTTCGACGACATGTGCTGTGTAACATGCAGATACGCAGCCAATGTTTTTTATATAATTTATAAGTGTATGTATTTTTTCGACGTCACTTTTGTGATAGAAATACGTGTGTCTAGAAAAAGTGTTCAACGAGTCAGAGTACTTTGTATTCTACTATAGGAGAGCAGAAAGTCATCCCGCTATCAGTGACTAAGTCGTCTAACCAACCAGCTAAGAAGTGTAATGCGCAATATTTAACACGCGATTGACATCTTGGCGGATGCTGGCATAAACATCTTCGTGTTAAATAACATTGCTTTGGCTCACATACAACGCAGTTCACATACAATGTTTAGGTAGTTGGACCGGTCTTTGTTAGAATAATCTGACGAGTGCCGGTTAATCTGCCAAACTCAAACAAAAAAACATTTAGTTATTGAACGTGTGCCTTTCTTTTTAATTCAGCGCGCAATACGTTTTCACGTTGTTTTCTTTTATAGAGACATCTTCAGTCGGCAAAACTTCAAAGTCAGCACAGCAGGAAATCTTGACCTGGTATGCAAGGATTTGCGACAAAATATGGCACGAATTGAGACCAACACCATTGCCGAAAGCAGGTAAACGAACATGATTGATCCCTCCATCCTGGGAATCGGTATAACACGAAAGTAAAACATCTCCTTACAGAAAGCAGTTTATTGCTTGTTGTACATTATTATAATAGAGCTTATGTGATGCCTCTGCGTTTTAGACAGCTAAATTCAAGCGCCATTTCTTGTAAATACATCCACGTTGACGCTTACCGATACATCCCCATCCCGACTACTAACGTCCGTGAATAATGACTCAATATTGAATAATGATGCCCGATATAGTTCTAGTAGTTAAAGGTGACAGCGAAACCAAATAAAGCAGAGTGACAGCCAGAGGAGTGCGACTTATTGTAGGCCAAACGTGCCCTAACGTCGGCTGCTCATGACATGTTCGAATTAGTGATTGCCACTGCCCGATTTAAGGGAAACGCAACGCGCATAGTGACTTTCCTTTTGTCCGGCCATGATTTCTCGCGTGGCGAGTGTAAGCGGGCAACGCAAAATTACAACCAGACCAAGCAAGCGCGTTGCTTTGCATGCTTGGTATACCACAGAACTATTTTTGGTATGAATGAATGGATGCTTTTAGTCACACCAACTTTTTGGGCAAGGTCACCACCTGGCAGAATTTTATTGTGTTCACAAAACTCCGATTCTATTGAAAACGCGTCAATTAGGACGGACACGGACAAAACGATGCATTGAAAGCATTTCAGAACTAATCCTGGATTCCATGGTAATGATGCTATGATGCACTTTACCAAGAGTACCGTGAGAGGGCAGTGGTATATGTAAAAGGCCTGCTTTTAAATCCTACAAAGTATGTTATGGTAGTGCAGGGAATAGCATACCCTGCAAATGTTATCGCCTACCGAGATATTGTGGGTTCGACGGCCGTTGACGGAACTTGGTCATCTGAAAGTTATCTTTAGACGTCATTTCCATGACGGAAGTACGTCATTGAAAGCTTAAAGGACCCCCAGCATATAACGGCTTCGTGATAAAAATTGTCTGAAATTTCCTCCTCCCTGTTAGGTATGTGAATCACGGTGTATTCTTTGATGAACTATAAAGTAAGAGGAGAACTCGGATGTCTCTCCACCAATGAATGTACTCGCCGATATTTATTGGTCGTCCCTTCTGCGGCATAGGTGAGAAATTACGAAGCCGAAACACCCACTGCGCAACCACTCCGATCAATTCTATGTTGAAGTGAAAAAAAGCAGGGAAGAGAGACACGAGAGAGATTAATTAAAGCCAAGTATACATGTTTGCACTTTGGAGAAAGCTTTAGCCATGGTAACCTAAAGGTTAAGCAAAGCATTCAATTATTACAGCTTGGAATTCTATATCTCCCTTCAAAGCTAACTCCCTTCAAAAAATTACATCTCCCGCTCAAGGAAACCATGAGTAGAAGCGAAACAGTGGGAGCTAACTCTCACACTGCTGGCGGCTATTTCTCGGGCCCTCATAGCGGTGTTGCGCAAGACAGAAACCTCAGAAAGCTCAAAGCACGCAGTGCTGGACCGATCTTTTCTACGAGGACATGCCAATCACTGTTAACGGGAAATGAGAGGCAGAGCCTGCGTGCCATGACAGTTTTCTACCAAGCCACGCCGCTGCTTGAAACTCACTTATAAACTAGCCTTTTAAACACTTCATGTGGAGAAAGTATTCGTGGTAATATAAGTCATTAAGCGTTTTAGAACAGCAGAACAACCAGGCGTCCTACAATTCGAATTGCGCAACGATTGAATCCTACATTGCTCCGAGCCATTACAGAATCTTGTTCTTGATCCCCTATTAACTGTCGGCTATACCGACTTCAGGCATAGCTCGTCATCCTAGTCAGCCACTGCACATATTCTTGCAAATAATGCCTCGGAAAACAGGGAATACCAAGCTTCCCCAAAGTGTGATGAAGAATAGCTCAGTGAAAGGCGGCCTACTACAGAAAATTTATGATTATTTATGTCATAGTGGGCGCCCATCTTGTGTGCACCCATCTTGTGGCCCAAAGAGTGTTTAGAAGAGGCTGCGAAAGGCCGCGCTTCCGGCTTTTGCTGTGACTGTGCTGGGCGTTGCACGCAGTCCTAGTGTTTTTTCTGTTTTCTGCTTTTCCCATGGAAAACACGCACCGACAGGATTGGCAGAAACAATTCATTCGCACACCACATTTTTTTCAAGAGAGACGATTATTCAGTTTTTATTTATTACGTAGTTTATGATCGCTACATACTCCTCCGCGTCGCAGTAAGTTGTGATCGCTGAAGCGCACTCAACCAAAAACACCTGCTGTAGTTTTTCGTTCAAAGCTTCACTACATACTCAATTACGCATGGTAGGACAGCCTACAATGATTAGTGAAGGTGAATGATTCTGCAACAAGACAAAATAGACAAGTCCTCTCCGCTGCTATAATTCTTCGAATACGAGGCTATGCATTGTGTGTTTTAGCCAACAAGAACTCCTGTAAAATTTTATCATCTTGAGAATAGTAGCAATCTGACTTAGCGTATGTATAATGAATACAATCCGTCGTAAGGTGACAAATCAGCTTTGCCCATTAGGTAATGCTCATCTAAGGTTTCCTGTCAAATATCCCACTACAAAGTCTCCGTGAGAGTTGAACCATCGCGCGAGAGGACATATTGGTAGCGAGAGTATGTTAAACACAATACTGATGTTTTGCAGGACTGGATTGTAATGACAATTATTGGCGGTAATTGCAAGCAATGGCGCTGAATGGCGCTCCTAGGTTTATATGCACTAGTATACCCTAAATTGTTGATGGGGGAATGACTACAAGCGTAGCACAGTGGTGCATCAGGTGCGTGCGTCGAGCAGAACAGGCTCGGATCCAGCCGGTGTCTGGTTATCTTTTAATTCAATTTTATTTGTACAGTTTTACACTACATGAGCTCGTAGGAGCATCCGCTATACTTTCCTTGACATATAATCTTCGTTCTCATCAATGCACTTGTAGCACCTGCTCGGAAAAAATGGAAGTTCTTTATCTGTCCTAACACTAATTCCATTGAATATGACCGGAACCCAATGCATCAGGGGCTAATATTCGCCTTCTGATGGGCACCTCCATGACTGTGATGAGTGAAGTGGCCGTGCGTGATCGTGAACATAAAATTGTGTTTGAAGTGCGCGCCGCAGAGACAGTCGAAGAAGACGACGCAGGAAAATCAGGGCAGTGGGGTGTGCGAAGAAGAAGAAGGAGTGAGGCAGACGTGGCTGGAAGGAAGAAGCAAGGTTGAAGAACCAGGGCGTTGGAGCAGTGACCCGTCGGGTTGCGGACTCGAGGTCTCAGCGGGCTCCCACCTGGGGCCATACCAGCCGTCCTTGCAGTTCGGGCCTGGCGTGGACGAAACGTCGCCAGGACGTTTCCGTCAGGCGAGACCGGCACCTACGGCAGCGAGCGCAAGCCAGCGTTCGAGATAGGCATGGCAAACGCCATGCGTGCTCCAGGTCAACGACCTCCTGCAGTGAGCCGCGTTCTTGGCCGCGGCTGTCATTGGACTCACCAGGCTACCCTAGCGTTGGCCATCCCTTCCCAGCGTTGAGTTTGCCGCCGGGACTTGACCACCGCCTTCCTCTCCGGTGAACTCTTTCTGTTTTATGCCCTTGTGACTCTCACACCAGCATTCCCAGCATGTTATATTTTTTCCCTTTATTTATTATTACACCTTTCATGTCTTTTGTAATTACATTTTTTATGTGATTGCATAAACGCCCTCGTTACTGCCCGATGACGATTGAGTCATCGCAGGTTTCCGTACAGAAACACGAGCGTCTCGTCTAGAGCTTTGTCTCTCTATACAGCTCGTTACATTGGCGTCCAAGGCGACAGGACAAGGCCGTTTATTGCATTAATAGTTACTGTTCCCTGGGTACATTTTGCTAGAAAAAAAAGACAGATCAAAGATGAGTTCAGATTTAACGGCACTGGCGTTGCGCATGGGGCTAGAGGGAGCTGAGGTAAGGGCTTGGGTAGAAGAACGGGAGTCTCGAGCTCGAGAAGAGAGGGCTGCAGAACGTGATGCAAGGAAAGAGAAGATGGAGCAGATGGAGTTAGAACGGCGACTTCAGGAGGAATACCAGAAGACTATACAGTTGCGTCTTCAACTCGCTCAGGCTGAAGGCGTTAGAGAGTCAGTGGTGGCTGACCAAGACCGACCAGTTCGAGCATCTCCTACCTTTAATCCTCGCAATTTCATGCCAGAGTTTAACGAGAACCGGGACGACTTAGACGCATACTTAAAAAGGTTTGAGAATGTTGCTACCGGTCAAGAATGGCCAAAAGACAAGTGGGCCACGGCCCTAAGTTTGTGTTTGAGCGGGGAGGCTCTCAAGGTCTTTGGTCGTCTGTCGCCAGAAGAGGCTCTCGATTATGACAAAACCAAGTTGGCGCTACTGCAGCGATTTCGTTTCACGGCGGAGGGATACCGTGAAAAATTCCGTCACAGCAAGCCACAAGAGGGTGAAACGGGCGTACAGTACGCAACGAGGCTAACAAGCTTCTTCGACAGATGGGTTGAGATGTCGAAAACGGAAAAGGAATACTTATCAGTTCGGAATCTCATAGTAGCGGAGCAATTTATAAACAACTGTCATGATAAGGTGGCGCTATTTTTGCGAGAGAAAAACTGCCGTAAGCTTGAAGACATGGCGGAAGCGGCCGACAATTTCTTAGAAGCTCAGCGACAGTCAAACTTGCTTGTTTTCCGTGACAAAGGGGAGAACACTCCTGCAGGAAAAGGCGGTAATTCAACTTCAAAGGCTTCCACTCGCTGTTTTGTGTGTGACAAGACCGGTCACATCGCTGCAGAATGCCGCGCTCGGACAAGGCAACCTTACTGTGGGTATTGTCGTAAAACTGGGCACGACACCCAAGCGTGCACCAAGATACCCAGCACTACACGGAAAGCCTCATGTATATGGTCGCAAAGGGAGAACATTAACGAAGTCGAGCAGGTGGAGGACGAAAAAAGCGAAGAGAGTATGGCTAGTGC